ATTGTGTTTTGGTGGGCTGTGCTATTATGTTATTGGTGTGTGTTCATCAAAGAAGTCAAACATGCATGTGCAAACGAGAATACAAGATGTAGGCATCAGGACGGATTTTAATATTTAAGAAGTTTACTATGATACAAGTTTATACTGTTTATACTGAATAGTAGCAAAAATGATTTAATCGGCTGGCATACACAAAAACAAACCAAATAATCCTGATACATTTAGAAATCTTTTTTGTTGTTTTCAAACAATAACACCCCAATGCTCTAAGTGTTTAACAGGACATGGAAGAATGACATGTCAGTTTTTTGACTTGTCAAAGACACTGTTAAGACATAAGTTTGGAAATAAATGTCATTTTATAACAACAAATTAAAACCATTAAAATGACTTTTATTCTCCGAGGCAAAATCAAATGAATATGAAGGAAATATTGAAATATTACTGTTTGGTAGCTCCTTCAAACCAATCATCTCCTGGCTGTTATAGTAAGCACAGTTTAAATGCCCTGGGGAAATACAGCTGCATGTGAAAAAACCATTGCTATGAGTGTAGTGGTAAGACCACCTACATGATTGGCATTGCAATAGTGTTGTTTGTGTTCTGCTTTTGTAAAAAAAAATATATAACTAGTTTAACAATTTACTGGTTAAAAATAAGAAAACGTTTATGTGGTATCTCTTACTGATCGGCCATGGCTGAACACAATGTATAGCCCCAGGCACGCACCCCTACTGGTTGGCCATGGCTGAACACAGTGTGCAGCCCCTGGCACGCACCCCTACTGATTGGCCATGGCTGAACACAGTGTACAGCCCCAGGCATGCACCCCTACTGATCGGACATGGCTGAACACAGTGTGCAGTCCCAGGCACGCACCCCTACTGATTGGCCATGCTGAGCACAAGGTGACAGAATATGTATTTGTTGAAGGAAGAGCCCTCACCTGAACTTCATGGCTGAGTCCTTGGTGGACCGGGCTGAGCAGTGGAACTCTTGGGCCCCAGAGCCTTCCAGAATCCTTTGCAGGTTCCTCTCACTTATTCCTCCTCCTGCAAAAGGCAAACAAATACAGCACGTTGCACACTGTTTGTACCATAAGTGTGTAAAATATGAGTGTATAAAATCTCGGTAAAGAACTCTGATGATATTTATACAAAGGTGACTTGGAGCAAAACAAGAACACCCTCTCCCTGAGTTACACAAGACTTGACTTGTAAATCAATATTACGCTAAAAACCTTCCGTTGGCCCCATAATAAAATACTCTAGGTAGGAGAGTTTAAGTTACATGCATAAGGAACAAGCAGTGGGGCAATGTACTTCTGCGTTCTCACTGAAAAGTATGAGAAACCCAAATTGCAATCATGTCCAGAAAGGATCCAAGTGATTTTTTATTTACTGTGTATTTTAATTTGTGTTTTATTATTGAACAGTACCATATAGAATTATGAAATGTACAGTTTAGATAAATTTGGTAAAAGGTCATTCTAATCGATTTGCTGTACCATGTCGTTTTTTAAGCATGTTCTATATTTAGTGTTCAATTATTCTAACTATAGTGTTTTAAAACTGTATCATCATTATTTTATATCTATCTCCTATATAGGATGCTTCATGGACTGCTGCTGCTGCCTTCTCTTTCTTGCTCTCTATCCCCTCTGTGTTCAGCACAGACACCTGTTAATTATTAAGGCAGAACCTACAATTCTGCTCTTCCTCCTTTCTCATTGACATATCTGGGACAAATAAGGGAGGATCACTACAGGATCATGAATGGTAAACCTACATATGTATTTACACAATGCCTAAAAAGTGGTCGCTTCCGACTTACGTAATTTGGATTACATAAATACTGAAGGAACCAAACTCTTAAGTATCCCTGGAGTGTGTGTATTTCATTTCAAGCTGTATCAACTATTACTCCATTATGTGGAGAAGGCAACACAAAACTGCAGTGGCCTATACAGAAGTTCTGCAAAATTCTTTTACCATAGAATTTAGAGAGGTTCCTATATTCCAATTGTTTCAGTCCATTGAAATGCTAAGACTCTTATTAAGATTTTAATGAATGCAACCATCTGTCAAGTGTTTTCTTTTCTGCCATGCATATAAGATACTACCCAGAGTTTCTTGGACTCTCATTGTTATTGTTATAACCTTATTTGTACAACTTAATGGAAAACCATTATTAATGGTTTTATGTGCCGCCCAGAAGTAGTACTTTAAATATTGAGTACCACAGTAGTTCTATATCTCAATCCTACTGAAAATTACTGGCTGTATTCTTAAATTCTGTATTCCCTCTGTATACACTTGCCCTTATCCCCCAACCTCATCACAAGGCGATCCTGCCAAAAGAATTGGATGGACCTGTGCTGCAAATATTTGAATGCCTCACAGAACACAGAAGACAGCAGCTTTACTTTAGGTCTGATCTAGTTATATGATCCCATGGAAAAATCCAGCTGCTGTGAGTGTTGTTGGTGGACTGATAAGTGGTACAGATGCAGCCATTCAAAGTTTGTGGTACAAACCTGTACCGCGGGCAATTACTGTACGTGTGTGCCACCGCGCCGTACCGCGGTACGTGAATGGCTGGCTAAAATGACCGACAGGGGCACCCGTGGTGCATTGGACGGTAGTGGAAAGATTTAATCATTTAATCTCTTTACTGTGCATGTTTTAATCTGCTTAGTATTGAATATTTATATGGAATTTTACAACTAAAGGAAAAATTTTAGTAGCTAAGCATAAAAAGAGGAGCATAACGCATCTGAAGGTCATAAACTATATTAATTTAGGAAAATAAACATATTATGTAAACTGTATATTGCTGGTCTTGGTATTTTAAAGAAAAATACACAGCAGTATTCCATTTCTCCCTAAACATTTTAAGCATCAAAAGTCTTACATGTGGTTAGTGTTAGGAATCCCTAGTGAGAAGATACACGGATCCTGTGCAGACGCAGGCACGGGTGGTAGATGAGGCAGGCGAACAAACCAGAACGAGAGGCAAGGTCGTAGTCAAAAGGCGAAAGGCAAGTCGTAATCCAGGAAGTTCACCGGTAGCAGACAGTCCGAGTCGAGAGGCGAGGTGCAAGGTCGAAAAGG